CTTTCGATCGTATGTTTAGGTTTAAATGGTTTAACCCATTAATGGCCAAAGTATCGGAAACGAAACATTTCCTTAATTATTTTTTTCTACGATTTTCATATGATGAATATTATAGTTTATGTATCGGTCTTTCATATAAATAGTTTATTGACGTGTTTGTTATTGCAATAGTCCATATTATGTGTTGTATAATTTTTGAAATAATAATCAAAACACTCCAAATTTACTAGTATCTCTCGGTGTCGTTTGAGCTCGCATAATAAATCACAAGATATTTAAAATTCGACCAAACCAGCATTCCTTGTTCAATTAGGGATTGTACAATATTATCTAAACATAATTTGAAATCTGACTACTCATAAAATTTTATAACGCCTTAAAGATAATGTTTCGTTTATGAAACTTTGGCGCGATCCGTGAATTTATTATCCATATTGGATAGTCTACTAATAATACAAATTTTTTTAGTCTTAGCTATTATTTCCAACTGCTTAGTAGTTTCTTTGGTATAATAACAGTGAGTCTACTCGTTAGTAGCTATTTTTTAAAATTTTGCAGTATTTTACCGTGAATCAAGATGTCCAGAGGGTCTAGATGTCTAAATCGTTACAAACTATTCCTCTTCTCCAAAATAAAATCAATCTAATAAAATGGAAGAAATAAAGCTGACTTACTAGGAAAACATCATTTGAAATATTCTCTTTGTTTTTTGACGATATTGTATTCCAAAAGATACTCGAGTTCAGCCTGAAATATGCCCGGGACAACAACATACATAATTTCAAACTCTCTTCAGCTCAACTGCAGAAGTTTTTTGGTATTTTAATCCTAACCGGTTATCATACACTTCCGGCGTGTGATATGTATTGGTCAAAAAACCTTGATACAGGAGTGGAGATCGTGAGAAAGTGCATGATTCAAAACACCTTCCGAAACATAAAAAGAAGTCTTCATGTCTCCGATAATAATAACCTATAATGATAAATTTGCCAAGATACGTCCATTATTTTTGCTGATGAACGAATGATATTTGCAGTTCGGACTATTTGCCAATAATATGTCTATAGATGAACAAATGGTTCCTTATTTCGGCCGACATTCTGCAAAAATGTTTATGTAGGGTAAACCAGTACGCTTTGGCTTCAAAATCTGGTGCTTGTGTAGCTCAGAGGAATATTTATACCAATCCATTCCTTATGGTGGCGCAAATCTAGAAAGGCAGAAATCTCAATACAGATTAGGAACGCAAGTAGTTTTGGATCTGCTACGTGTAATCAAAACCCTTCAGAACATATAGTTTTCTTTGACAACTTCTTTTCTAGTTATGCACTATTCCACATTCTAGGTGAAAAAACAATTTTCTTTACTAACACTGTGAGAGAGAATAGGTTACCAGGATGTCCTCTACAAACTAGCAAATTGCTTGGAAAGAAGAACAGGGGCGAGTTTGATCACGCTTTCGACAAAAAGCCAGAAATATCAGTTGCAAGGCGGATCGATAATTCCGTTGTGACTATAGCCAGCAATAATGGAACGGTTCATCCAATTATTACAGTTAAAAGATATCATCGGAAGCTACGAAAGGAAGATTCAATACCTCAGCCCAATATGACTAACGAATATAACAGATATATGGGAGGTGTTGATCTCCTAGATAATTGTGTTTATGAACCTTGTGGATTGCACAGTTGTAAATTCATGGAAAATTTACAACATTGCAAATGACTCCTTAATCTCCCAATTGCAATTCCGTTCTTCGTTGGTTTTGTCACTGATACAGAACGAAAAAAGATTTACAGTAAAAACAGCTGCTGAAGAAGATGACTCCTAATCAGACCCAGAGCCAGCGCCATCCACATCTGTATGGGGTCGTCCTTCTAAAGGAAGTTTACCTTCTGATATTCAATATGACCAGAATGGTCATACTATCGTTCGCGAAGAGGAGGGACGTAAACGACGGTGCAGACTGTGCAAAACTAACTCTGTTTATATGTGCGGAAAATGCAAGGTTTACTTGCACGCTGACTGTTTTAGTGCTTTCCATAAAAAATGAGATCCCATAATGACGCTAGTGCCATACTACCATACTGCCAAGTAATCACTTTATCTTATATAATTAACTATTGTAGAAATAGCTTTAGTTTTTAATTGATAAAACCAAGAAATTTCATTTACACACTATAAAACGTATAACTTTCAATTTACTACATATATTATGCCAAAGTTTCGTTAACGAAACATTATTTTTTTGTATTTTGCAATTATTATTGTTTATAATTTTAGGTGAAATATTGTTACTATGCCTTTATTTATAAAGTATATAAACTTGAATTGCAAAAAATCTGATTATTTCAATGCTTGGCCGTTAATGGGTTAAATTATTAAATGATTAGTTAGTTTTTATTTACAGAAAATTATTAAGATTTGTTTTTTTATTAACCGTTTTAAAAATAAATATGGTTTACGTATGATTTATTTTTATATTTACGTATATTTAAACTAATTGGTATTTATAATTAGGTTATTTCTAAAAGAACTCTTACAAAAAAAAATCAGTGAATTTTCTAGGAACATTAAATAACACATTTTCATACTCACTTTTACATAAAATTATATTTTATGTAAATGCCTTAATCATTTTAACCACAACTAAAATTTTTATTTTAAGATTACAATACAAGAAACAACACAGCATGGCAACATCCAAGCCAATAATATAATCTGAGGCTAATCGGCATTTTTTTAAAACTAGTTAATCCATCCATTCACAGAATAATAAATATATGTTCTCATGCATTCATTATTTTCTTCTTTAGAAGTTGAGACACAAGTTATAATGCAAATCGTTCGCAGTGAATTAGTTCTATGAAAATTAATGAACTAGTTCAATTAGTTCAGTTGAAAGAATCGTTCATTTGAACTATTTCGGTGGAACTACATCCCTAGTTGTCAGTCGTGCAAATTTAGATATCGCGGCATTAATGGTAGGTTGCGAAGAGATCCAGAGTCGACAGATTCACTTACTTCGGAACTACTCTCAACTCACAATGGGACTACGCTCAAGATCATTTTGAAATTCTCGTTAATGGTGTATACCACCCTGTACGATGATAAAAAACTTCTTTATATATATTATGAACGCCATAATAACTTGTACTCTGCGAATGTATTTTAAAACTATCTCGGTTATATCGCCAGCGGCTTTAATAAAACACACGAGCGCTTTGAAGTGTTCAATTAATGTTTGAGACTTTTGCAACAAAGTGGGAGGCTAGAGTTAACGAGTGATTTTATTGACGTGGTTTTTGCCGGTGAGGTTTTGAAGAACGACTTGGAGGGTGTATTGATTTTTATCAACTGTCTTTTTTATTTTTCGATGGGTATATTAATCATTTATGGTAGCAACGGAGGGTTCGGGATATTTTTGAGTGGATTAGCTATAGAATTGAATCGATTAATGAAAAGTTAATCTAAATGGGATGTGTTATTTGTATAGTCCATTCAAATTTCTAGGTATTTTCCTTCAATCTATAAATTATGCATTTGTTGCCTATTCTGGCATCAAATTTTGATCCACCTCTTTAATAGATATTTAACATTTGTTTTTACTATTCATTGTTGATATATTTTTATCTATTTTCTCTAATATCTTACGATTTTTTTACTATTTTGCATTAAATTATCTTGTCTTCTTCATTATCCTTATTAAGAATCTTATGTAATTTAATAATAATTGAAATAATTCCTTAATATTCTCTATTAGTATTCACATATGTATTAAGTTTCCCAACGACGCTCGTGGTGTACAAAAAGTTGATAAAGAATGTTAAATTAAATAAATAATATCCTTTTCATTATTCGCTACACTTTATTTTGTGTGTAAATAGATATATGTGTCATTCATTGTAAAAGTGGTGTAACTCCATATTTTGTTATTTACTGTTTTATTGTATCATTCAACCACGTTTAGTATAATCTTTCAATATAAAAGCGAATCATCTCCAAAACTTACTCCTTCAACATGTAGATGGGGTTACTAGTTTTGTTCGAGAGCTTAAACTGTATCTAAATATGTCATTATAAAAGTGAAGTAAATCCCAAGTCGCAATAATAATGAAGTAAGTCCGGAGATACTTCACTTTTATTGTGGCAAAATTGCAAGAGGTTATGTTACATATTGTATCATTTCGTTGATTAATTTATGTTTACTGTTTCAAAACGAATTATAATAGCATATTATGATGGATACAGATGATTTTAGTAATTCTGATTCCGAATATCACCCTTTAAATGAAGAAAATAATAGTACTTCCGGTAAGTTTCGTTGTTGTTCATTTAGTTATTTTTATAACCTTAAACTATAAGTTATTAATAAGAATTAGGCAATCCATTGACCTGTTGACCACCAAACCTTGATTGACCTGTGCCAACCAAATACATTGAACATTGTATTTGGTTGGCACGCAAAACCAACAAAACTGTCCGTAACTTTATCTACTTGTTTTTGTTAATGTTTTTTAGTGTTTTAAAGATATGTTTTATTCATTGTTTGAAAAGCAACAATAAACAAATATTATTTTGCTTGTTTTTGTCCAACATCTGGTGCTTCTAATAATAATTTCCTTAGCATTTGGTTTAAGCATATTATTGAACTACATACAATAAAAATTCCAAAAATAAAGCGAATAATATTCATACAGGATAAATAACGTATAGTTATTAGGAAAATCACAAAAATAACCTTTGTTTGCCAACCAGAGGTCACGTGGTCTGGATTGCCTAATACGGAACTATTTTGTTTATTTTTTGAGTTTTATAACTAACTGTACTTGCTCAACCTTTTAAATGTGTTGTCTCCTTGTTTTAGGTACAGATTCAAGTCATGACGAAAATATAAATGATAATAATGACCAGCAAAATCTTCAAGCAGACCCTGTACCAGCTAAGGCTAGAAAAAGATCACTCAATAAAGAAAATTGGGCAGTTAAAACAAAAGAAAAATGTTAAGAAATAGCGGTAACGAGTATTTAACTAAAAGAGGTATAATAAAAAATCGGAAAAAATTTGAAAATATTGATTGTGGATGTCCAAAGAAATGTTTAACGCTGTTGACAGAGGATGAAAGAAAAGAAATATTTGAGTCTTTTTGGAATTTAAAAAATTATGATCTTCAAAATTCATATCTGTATGTATTGGTACAAAAATCAGCAGTCAAAAGAAAACGTCCACTAAATAGTTCACGAGCAGGAAAAAATTTTCATTTCAAATATTTTGTTAAGTCAAGTAATGAAACCCGATCTGTGTGTAAGAAATATTTTTTAAAAACATTTCAAATCAGTGATGGCAGACTGTATCGTTGCCTTTCAAAGGATGATGTGTTCCAATGTACTGATAAACGAGGCACAACAAGTTCCAGAAAACTTGATGATTCTGACATTGTAGCTCACATCGAAAGTTTTCCTTCCTATCAAAGCCATTACACGAGGAAAAATAACCCCTGTAGAAAGTATTTAAATCCAGGACTAACAATACGAAAAATGTATGATCTTTACAAAGAAAAATGTGATATTAATATGACAGAACCTAAGAAATTAAAATATTATAATAAAGTTTTCAACACAAAATTTAATTTACATTTTAAAATGCCACACCAAGACACTTGCAAAACTTGTGATGACCTTAATTTAAAGATACAGGGAGCTGGCGATGAAAATGCTAGGAAGGGATTTGAAATACAAAGAGAAGTTCACCAACGAAAGGCAGAAGCAGCAAGAGAAAGTCTGAAAAATGATTCAAAAAGAACTAATGAAGCATACATTCTAACTTTTGATCTACAGAAAGCCTTACCCTTCCCCAAACTTAGTACTTCTGTAGCATACTATAAAAGAAATCTTTATGTTTATAACTTCGGAATACATTGTTTCAATGACGATGTAGGCTACATGTTTGTCTGGTATGAAATTGAAGGCGGAAAGGGCTCTCAAGACATTTCACCATGTCTTGTAAAGCTTTTAAAAACTCATGCAGCTACACAAAACCATGTCATAATGTACTCTGATTCTTGTACCGGACAGAATAGAAACATCAAGATGGCCCTTTCTCTTTTAAAGCTTGTACAAGAACCTATTCTCAGTATAAACACAATAGACCATAAATTTTTAGTGTCAGGACATTCGTTTTTACCCAACGATGGGGAATTTGGAGTCATTGAAACCGCTAGTCGTCATCAACAACAAATTTTCAGTGCAGATCAATGGATAGACATCATAAAATACGCAAAACGCAAACAGCCACATTTTTGCGTGACGAAAATGAAAACCTGTGATTTTTTTAGTACAGTTACCTTGGAAAATTCCATTACAAATAGAAAGAAAACGACATGTGGTTATGAGTTCAGCTGGCTTAATATTAGATGGATAAGATTTGAAAGAAATCATCCATTACAGTTTAAATTTAAAGAAACCCTTAATCCTGACACCCCATCTTACGTTGTAGATTTAACTAAAAAGAAGCAAGGACCTGAGGTTCAGTTAAACAATATTATACAAATGCCACTGTATACCTCAAAACGTCCCATAACCAGCGCAAAAAAGAAAGATATGAAAGACCTCTTAGGAAGATAAAAATCTTCCTACCGATATACCAACGCGGTCAAACAGCGGTAATTCTAGTGAACGTTCATCTGATGATGAAATTATGTACGATTAGCTCACAATAACAGTGAAGTAACTACAAAAAAATTTTTTTTTCCCATTTTTATCACAGAATTCAATATATTTTTTTCGTTTTATACTTATGATTAGAAACTTGGTCTTGTAGTGAACAATAAATAATGTAAATAACTAAATAACGACTTTTATTTTTTTTTTCCTGTACATACATTTGCAAATGTCAAAATATCTACAAATTCAATTTGATGGAGTTACACCACTTTTACAATGAACGACACATATAAGCCGCTGAGAACAAAAGTGGTGTAAATAAAAAAATCAAGTTTTTAGCAAACTAGTTCTTTACTAGAAACTCTATACAGACCAAAGTTTTTATGGAATTTATTGTTTGTTTAGACAAATGAATGGATAATATAATGATCATGCTCATAGTATGTATTTTTACCTAATAATCTCCATAATGGAGATGCTATATTAAGCGAAAGTACTTGGGCAAGATTTGAATAAACTTGTGCTCGATATAATTGCCTTAATTTTCAAAGTTAATAATGCTTTAAACGGTTACTGGACTATTTTTATATTTTACGCCAAATTTTGGTGATATATGTACATGTATTTATATTTCAACAACTGATAAGCTGATAGTTAACCTATATGAACATATTAACTAATTTGTCACCCAATCGCTGGCCAAGGTTAATTATTATCATGGCTAAACATAATCCAATGATCAAAAATATCGGAGATGATTAATTCTAATTAAATAGAATATGCGACACCCTCATACAATACTTTGTCGATCTTTAATAGCATCTGTATTTATTAAAAACTCCACTAAAACTAAACTAAATTTAGTAATATTCAACCTCAATAACTTTTTGCATCTTAAACGTTTAGTAACAACTACATTCTTATCTAATACATTGTTTCTCTTCCAGTCTTCCATGAAGGAGAGGCAGCTTATGCAGTAAAACGTTTCACAGGGTTATATACGGGTCCATACTTCGATCCTACCACAACTACGAATATCACAACCCAACTAGGAACACACGCTTACATCCCCTGCAAAATCAAGCAGTTAGGAAACAAATCGGTGTCCTGGATAAGGAGGCGCGACGCCCACATTCTCACTGTAGATAGGTAAGTCAAAGATAGCGTTGTTTATGTGTCCTTGTGTTTCCTTGGCTTTGTTGTGGGAAATAGTTTGTTTATGAGGGTTACTAAGCAAAAATTTAGGTCGAGATAAGTTACTGTTATGGTTCACGGAAATGTAGACGATGTCCGAAAAGTCCTAAACTTTAAACACTTTATTATATTATTTTTTGTACGACAAATATTTGAAGAATACTACTGGATTAGACGATTAAAATTAAAAAACGTAAACCATAATTCACTATTAGAAATTATTCATTGTCCATTATTCTCAACATATTTCAAGGTGGCTGAGCTACAGTCATTTTCTTCTCCCTAATGATCACCGTGTGTTCTCGCGTGTGTGAGTCTTTTATTTTTCTTATGCAGTCCGTATTTCAGGGGGAATTTGTTTCGGTATGTAGCCATTTTCCTTCACTACCTAAACTCCTAAAGAGATATCTTGCATCCCCATCCACAACATCCTACCATCGCTTTTTTCGTCTGCCTATAGGTATTGTCCTTGGCATTCTTGCATTTAAGGCTATTTTAGCAGTCAAAGCACACTGCGATTTGAAATGGGCGTATTACTTACTTTTCTACACTGCTTACGGCTGCCGACGACGGGTACAACGGGTACAGTGGCGCCGACCGACGGATACTTTAATGACAACAAATGCATTATTCTCCATTCAAATTAGTTTTGTCGGGAATACCTTTTTTGAATGATTATCGTAGATGTTTTAAAAAGAATTATCACATTTTAATTTTTATATGTCTTAGATAAATATAGTATTGAATAAAAATTTTTGAAACGTGACTCCAAAAAACATCATGGTGTTTATTTATAATAAATTTAAAATAACAAAAAAATATTATTATCAAAAAAAATATTTGTTGTCACAAAGAAATAAACAATTTCGCAGTTATAGCTTGAAAATGATTTCAAATCGTACTAACTGACCGTACGTTTATGAGATTTGACGTCACGAAGCCGATAACGGTGCAACTAAGTGCCAATGATGAGTAACACGTTTCACTATTAGATTTTAGTATTTTTTAACAATTTTCTTCAAAGTTTGAACACGCTTTTCTCGATTATTACCGGACACAAAAAGGAGAAAAAAAATCAACGATTACAGAAAAAAAAGTCTGTAAAAAAAATAACAGAGAAAATACTATCGCTAGGTTTTGGTGTACCGATAAAACAGCCTTAAACATTCTAATTTCTTAAATTTTTGCATTTAAGCGTTATAATTCCCATATATAAGAAAGGAAACAAAGAGCAATTCCGAAACTATAAAGGCACATCGCTTATTAGCACATCATATAAAGTGCTATCAATTATCTTGCTAAAGAGACTCAGACCATATTCGGAAGATATTTTAGGCGACTACCAATGCGGCTTTCGTGCTGGAAGGCCAACTATAGATCAAATATTTACTATTCGACAAATATTATAAATTAAACTGGGAATTCAACCGCAATGTGCACCAAATTTTCATAGATTTCCAACAAGCATATGATTCTATAAAAAAAAGCAAATTGTGGATAGCAATGTTAGAAATGGGAATACCAAGAAAATTAGTTGAATTAACGCAAATGTGCGTAACACACTCATATACGCAAGTAAAGATAAGAAGCAGAACATCGATGCCATTTGGTATTAATTCATGACTTAGGCAGGGGGACCCCTTGTCACCGTTGCTATTCAATTTTGCTTTAAAATATGCAATAAGTAAAGTATCGTCTGAGTTGACATGAGGATTTGCTGATCAAGGATCAAAATTGTTGCTGGCCTGTGCTGATAATATAGATGCAGTCACACATTATACAAGAGACGTGAGAGAGGTATTTTTATTATAGCTCAAGGAGGAAACAGGTAGTCTGAGTCTCCGAATAAATGAAGAAAAGACGAAATACATGGTAGTAACCAAAATCCAAGACCAAGAGTTAGGCAGAACATCAGTATTAATGATCACGACTTCGAAGTAGTAAAGAAGTTTAAATACCTGGGGGTGATAATCACAGTTGACAACTACATAGAAAAAGAAGCCTCAGCAAAGATAGCTGCGGGAAATAGAGCAATATACTTCTTTTCAACATTATTAAGATCGAAGCTGCTAAAAAGAAAATCTAAATTAATACTGTACAAGTTGATTATTCGCCCAATTATTACATATGGCATTGAAACATAGACTCTTAACCAGCGGGAAATCAATAAGCTTATAGTATTTGAGAGAAAAGTTCTCAGAATAATTTTTGGCCCTTAAAGAGATAAATTCACAGGGGATTGGAGAAGACGCCACAATGCTGAATTGGTGACTCTGTATGGAATTGAAAACATAGTTAGACATATTAAGGCAAACCGAATAAGATGGGTTGGTCACGTGTCACGATCAGAGGATGACAGAGTGTTAAAGGCAGTGTTGTTTGAAAGACCAGATGGTAGAAGATCAGTAGACCGACCGAGAAAAAGATGGAAGGATGATGTTGAAGCCGATTTATCTAAAATTCGGATTCAACAATGAGAAATAGAAGCTCAAGATCGTAGAGGTTAGAGAGTGATAGTGGATGCGGCGAACACTCACCCCGAGGTGTAAAGCCAGTGAAGAAGAAGATTTAAGCATTCTTGAATCTTGGAATCTATAAGATTTGCATTCATCTATTAGCCTGATGTTCATGTCTATGGTCCACCATATCTTCTGTTCAATCCTGTATTCTCATATCTTCTATACTCTTTTACCGTGGTATTTAAATATACACCTTCTTTCTTGTCTTTACGTCTTTACTTGTTATCGTTTAAACTTAACATCAAATCACACTTTTTGAAACATGGTTTCTATTTAAAAACGGATTAGGTACCTAAGTACAGCTTTTTCACAATAGTACTAGTTTGGTATCAATAAAAGAGATGAGTGCATCTGGATACCTTCAACATGAAGATCTCTTACAAAGATAATATCGTCCGCTTGATCCTCCAGTCAAAATCCTGACGTCAAAAATATTTATGCCAACCCTCGTGCCAATTTTCACCCAAACCACGTTGCCATTGACGGTATAAATGAACGTCTATAACACCTTATAACACCTTATCCGTGGTCCAGTTTTGTTTGTCTACTAAGAATGTCTTGATGGGCCCCTAGACGAGAAGCAAGTGACCCTGTAAGTTTCCTTGTCATATATTCTTCTATTAATTATCCGTTATTTTTCGATTAGGGATAGAGTTGTGCATTTGTCTGGTTGGAGAATCTATTGCAACTGGCTAAATGACTAATGTCAATGCCATTAAAAAAAAAAAAAAAATGAACCGTCCGCTGTTCTCAGTAGCAGTAGTCCATTGATTTGTGATCAGTTTAGTAGTGCCTGGGGAGTTGAGAGAGTGAGACCTCGGAATGCCTGAAGAAGACATCAAAGAGAATGTCGAAAGTATGACGCTGTGATAATCTAAGCGGTTCAACCGGGAATCCTGTTGAGTTTAATAATAATTCTTGTAAAAGTACTAATCTTAGCTTTAGGTTTAATAATATACTTCGACCAGTGACTTGCGTCACTAAAATGGTGGTTATCTTTACGTTTATTTATTTTTTTACTTTTCATGTGAATGACTGGAGTTCAATGCCCCTCCTTATAGAAATTTTTTGTTTTCCAAATCCATTATAATGAAACATAATGATAGTTTTCCTACAAAACGTCTCCTGACAATAAAAACCACATAAAAGAAAGATTTATCAAATTTGGTGCCGTCGTTTTGAAGCTACGATACATTCTTATTTATATAGATGAATTGTTTATTTATTGATTGTATCAAATCCAATTTCTTTCCTTGCAATACTTTTAATGATATTAGCTGTAGATTTCCACTTTCATAAGCTTAAAAGGCAATTTAAAATATGTATTCAAAATAATTATGGGTATTTCTTTTAAAAACACTAAAGGAATTGAATCGATATATTAAAAATTCATAGTTTCTAATCTTCCCGATCTAAAACCATCATTTCCTCAACTAAAATCGCGGTGCAACTAAACCCAACCCCGCAATTTGACAACAACTGATGGCGGTTTGATTGTCTGGTTCTCTGTAGTTCTCAACGGCGTTTAAATTTAAGGCCTGCCAACTGCAACCCTCGTCTTGCATCTGCCAAATGTCTACGGTGGAAATGTTTAACTGAAACAATTGTGTTTGATATTGTGTATAACATAAGGGTGTATAGTGGTATAATTAAAACGTTTGATACGTTGAACAGTATCTTTCAATAAATAGACGGGTTGGGAAATGTCGGAAGAGTTTGTGGGATTTGTGTTTAATACTAGTAGATAGTTTGAACGTTTTTAGATAACAGACAGATTTTAGATGAAAAATATCTTTATCAAATAAAATTGGAATTTAAAAATTTTGGAAGTAAAATCGTCTTACCTTCATTAATGTTCAAATTGTCGCTAAATCTTTTTCGGAGTCTGCCAATACTTCTCTGCTCCGTATATACAGATGGGTTTGAAAAAACACCAAAGCATCCCTGCCATGGGACCAAATGACGAATGTATCGTCAACATATCGTAGCCAATATGTGGGTTTAAGCATTGTTGTATGGCTATCGCCATCTCCCTTTCTTCTTCTTCTCGTGCCACTCCTAGCGGAGATTGGAAATCATCATGGCCACTGCGACTTTGTTAGCAGCGCGCCTAAAAAGTTCAATTGAACTACATCCGAACCATTCACGTAGATTACGAATCCACGATATTTTTCTTCTTCCCACACTTCTTTTGCACTTAATTTTGCCCTGCATGATGTTTCTTAAAAGTTCGTACTTTTCACCTCTCACAATGTGCCCCAAGTATTCCATCTTTCTAGTTTTTATCTCATTTAGAATTTCGCATCTTTTGTCTAAAGTTTGGAGTACTTGCGTGTTAGTGACGCGGTCCATCCATGATATTCTGAGAATGCGCCTATAGCACCACATCTCGAAAGCTTCGATGTTTTTTATGGACAACTGTTTTAGTGTCCAAGCCTCAACTCCATATAACAGGGTAGAAAAGACATAACACCGCAGCATTCATATTCGTAACTTTATATTGATATCACGATTGCAAAAGAGTTTCTATGCGCATTCTATTAAAGACTGATCTAGCGATTTCTATTCTACATCTAATCTCAGATCACAAATCTTTGTTTGATCAGTATCGTCTGTGATCCAAGCACCTAGATATTTATAACAGGGCACACGCTCAATCGTTGTATTGTCTATTACAAGATTAGCTCTGATGTTCTTTGATTTCGTGATTACCATAAATTTAGTTTTTTTCAAATTAATTTTTAAGCCGTAACCGTTACAGTATATATTGAGACTTTGAACGAGATGTTGTAGTTCTACTAGCGTTCCCGTTAGGAGAACTGTATCGTCAGCATATCTTATATTGTTGATCGTCTCACCATTTATTATCAGACCAAGATCTTCTTCCTCAAGTGCTTGTTCACAGATATCTTCACTATACAGATTAAATAAAAGTGGCGATAAGATACATCGCTGCCGGACTCCTCGACGGATTTGAATTGCTTCTGTTAGTCTGCCGTCAACCTTGACATTTGCTGTTTAATTCCAATATAGATTGCATATAATTCGAATATCTCGGCTGTCTATATTTTTCTTTATTAGAACTTGTCTTAGTGGTTCATGTTGTACTTTGTCAAAGGCCTTTTCGAAATCAATAAAGCAGGAATCTCCCATCTTCCTTTGGACATCGCCAATCCTCCCGGTCCAAGACATGCTCCTCCTCCAAACCTCTCGATTCCATTACTCTTCTAATTCCTTCATTTCATGAGCGTCGATGTCCAACTCTTGTTCTTCCTTCAATGAGCTTCCATCTGTCCAGTTTTGGGCCAATATTCGCCAAGCATTCTCAATAGGTGTCCAAACCATTTAAAACCTCTTCTTCCTATTCTGTCAATAACCGTTTTTGTAGCATTCATGTTATTTTTTATAGATTCGTTGGTTTTCCTTTCCAGCCTTCATATTTTAGCACTTCTTCTCAAATAATCCATTTCAACTGCCAACAATCCAACAATCTTGTCTTGAGGTCTGCATTAATTGTCCATACTTCAGAGCCATAACAAAGACTGATTCAATCATGGTTTGCCCTCTTCTTTTTTTGTTCCTTTTGGAAATATTGCGATCCCACTATAAGAAGTTCAGACAACCTACAATTTTTCGTTTCTGATTAATTCGGTGTTTAAAATGTCGATTTCTCCCAAGCCGTTCTTATTAATGAGTGCACCTAAATATTAAATTATTTTTTACTTGTTTGATTTCCACGTACTCGTAGTAACTCAACTACTTAACGCAGCCAGAGGTGAAAACCACTGTGACCAAATGCCCCTCTTGGAGGTTAGTATTCGCCTCTGGTTGCGTTGAGTAACTGAGTTACCGTTGCTAACTACCCATCTTCCTGTCTTTTGATTTGTTTTTCTTTGTTCTCCTGAAGAAGCTACATACAATTGTAGCGAAACGTCGAGATGAACCCACTTTTGGGTCACTCACAAATGACACGGTCCACACCCGGAAGACGAATAAACTATAGTTTTTATTTTCATTTTTAGTATGTTTTGAGAAAAAGTTAAATAAACTCAAAACAAATCTTAAAGAGTTTTACTTAAAATCCAGTATTTGACTAAACTCATTGCCGAATCATAAGTATTTATGGTTTTTTCTAATGATTTACCACAGTATTTTAAAATGATTTCCTTGCTGAACGTCAAAAAAAATATTTCTAAATACACTTGAAATACTTTTCCAGTAAATATATTAGTCGTGATGGTTTAGAATGGTCGGTGGAACACAAATTTTCATTTTGAATTGTTTTAGAGTGCACATTGTTCTTTATTTACATAACAACTAATTGCAATTAGAAAATTTAATATTTTTTTTTATTTTCCAACTATAGTATCAAGCGTTTCTGCCTGTGTTAGATCAGAATATTGATTGACTGTTATGCTGTAAGTTGTTGCACCTCTGTTGAATTTTTCATTGTGTTCTTCTATTGATCGCAGATTGTCTTGGAATATTTTAAACCTCTTTTGCTCCTCTTCTGGACTTGCGTACGATTTGTGAAATCTTTGCTGAAACATCGTATTTATTATTAAATGATAAGAAACAAAATTATTTAATGATTCTAATAATATAACAATGAATTGATAACAATTCACAAGACACGTGTTCAGCACGTCTTTTCTTTTTTGAACTTTTAAGTATCCAAATAGTTTGGAGCTGTCTTTACTATTCTTTTCTAGGTCTTTTAACAGCTCTTCCATCCACAGTTTTTTCTTTAGTTAATATGTTCTTTTTTAGTTAATATCCATTTATCTCTTGCTTGGCTTTTCTGTTTGATTTTGATTTTGTATTCTGCATCAAACCACTCTTTCCTTCTTTTTATTTCCCTCTGTCCTAGCATCTATTCTGCTTAATCTTTTGTTGGATCGTTAGATCGATATGCTTTAATGATCTTATCGATCTTATATTTGATACAGTTTTACACA